ATTAGCTTGTCTGCAGGGCTTTGGTTTTGCTGCTTAGAGGTTCAGGGCAAGAGCTAAATCAATGAAGGCACTGGAAGAGACTGGAAAGGGCACATGGGGAAGATGGAAAGGAACTAGTTGATGGCTTAAGAGAATTCAGGTTATGAAATGTCTTCATTCCTTCAACAAATATTTATCTCAAAAAGCCTACAGTCAACCTGTGTGCTAGATACTGAGGACGTGACAGTGAACCAGACACAGCAGCTTCTGTCCAATGCAGGCGGCCACTTACCCTGGGATGTCCAATGTCAATCCTCTCCGCCCAACATCTTTAATAAGTGTGCACTGCTTGCTAATGCTCAGTAGATGAGGCAGCAGGAGGGGAGGAAAACTCTCCTTCCAGGGATGGAATGAAGCAAAGCCAGAGGCTCCTCCCAGGGGGCCAAATATGTGGTTTACATACACTATTGGCCAGTCAGGGCTTTTTAGGCATCCAGTATCTACTTTCTCCTCCTTACAGCAAGAGCACTTTGATTTGCTTTTGGAAAATGACATCTCCCCAATTGTGGGTGGTCATAATGGTACTGCCAGTCAAATGTTTTTCCCTCAATTCCTACCCACAAGAAAGCACAAGGTCCAAGCTCCATCAATGAGACTCGGAGCTGATTCCTAAGGGGAGAGATAGAAAATCCGAATCAAAGGCAGAGGTAGCTAGTTTAGCCCAGCCAGAGACGTGAATGAGATCAATGCTGCTCCCTGGATCTCTGGCCCCCATTCTGCATGAGGGTCTCAGCAGACCCTCGGAACCAGTGAGCTATTCTCTGTCTGTCCACAAAATCCCTTACTTGGTGCATGTGATTATGAAAAGCCCCAACACCACTACAGGGGGAGAGCCTCTGCTCTAGAGGTGAGGAGACCTGGCTGAGAGGGCAGATTTATCTTACTTTTCTATTGAGAGTTGGTACCAATCCAAAGGATCCCGTAAGCTACCAGTGATTGCTCTGAATTATCAAGAACATTCCATAGGAAAATGGATACACATTGAGGATATACTCCTAGGTGAAATAAATAAGTCACACATGTATAAATACCAAATAGTTTCTCTGGTGTGAAAAACTATAATGGTACATAAGATCCTAATGAGATAACTGACAATGTGAAATAGGAAGAAAAGGGATAGAGGTGTAGGAGAAATGGGAAGGGTAGGGGGAAAGGTAATAAGGGAAAAGGAAAAAAAATGAGAACATGAAAATAAAATATTTGTAAATAGGGGAGGAGGGGGTGAAGAGAGGGCAGGGATAAGGGGAAAAAATGAGAACTGAGACCTGTCATATAAAGGTACAAGATCCTAATGATGAATGTAACTATACTGTATACCTAAAATGTACCAATAAACTCAATAAGAAAAAAAAGAACATTCACTGTGTCAGTGCCAGCCCTCAGGAATAGGCCAACACCCTTAGGGAAGAGGTGGTCAGACCCATCTGGGTCAGGTGAAGGTCCCCATGGCCACATGAGCTTAGCACGGACAGCCTTAGCAACCCCATGCCTCTCTGTACTTAAGGGTTTCCCTGCCTGATACGGCCAGGGGTTCCTGCTTCTGAATACATGTAAATTCAAACAGGCCATGGGGGAATGCTATCCAGTTTATCTTCCCAGATCTTCCCGCCTCCCTTCCGTCCACACCAAGTCTTTCCACCCCCAGCCACCCCAAGTGCTCACACTCATCAGCTGTAACTGCTCAATGTGAACGGAAGCTGCACTGCCTCTCTCAAGTACTGAATCCACTCTTCCCATTATCTCCCAAACTCTTCACTTCAGGAGTCGGTGATTCCCTTAGTGAATAAAAAGTCCTTTCATGTTTCTGGGAGGTTAGGCCATTAGCTCTCTCCCCAAATTCCAACCCAAATCACTACCCAATCCAAATTTGCTTGGTATAAAAAACAAGCATGCAACTGGCCATGGCTTGGATACAGCCATGAACATGCAGCTCCTGTCCTGAGGCAGCTCAGACCACGGGAGACAAGTGAGCAAATGGCGTGACTGGCACAAAGCAGACACCGATGACAGTGCCTCACAGGGAAGCCCTGAACCCCACCTGCAGGTCTGGATCGGTCTCCCCTGAGAAAACTCTAAGCTGGGGCCCGAGGGGCAGAATGGAACCCAGAGATTGCTTCTGCTTCACGGGTCCTTCTGCAGAGCAGGCCCCCATTTTAGGAAGTTATGTTCTAAAAGTTCACTTTCAAGTTGATGGGCTTGAAGTTCATAATGTTTTCCTCCCCAGAAATACATTTACCAAGAGTGGCTAGGTTTTCAGGATGGGCCACCAGCACCAAGGCATGGTACACATAAATGCAGTGCCCTGGCCCATTTCGGGGGGTAAAATACACTGAGCCCCAGTGTCCACTGAGACCCCTCACATGAGCCCTATCTTCCTCATTAGGTCTCAGCATTTCTCTCAGGGCCTTCCCTCCACCCAGCCCATCCCACTGCCTTGGTTCATGCCAATCTCACCACGGCAAGGACACAAGACACAGTCACCGTGGTGACTTCTCCTTGCCCTGGCCTTCTCCAATTCCCATACTGCAGCAAGCAGCTCTGCATTAGTTCCCACTCCAATTACAGCACAGGTTTGTCAAGATCATACCCCAGTCTACCCCTCCAGCCTTTCCCCACCACATCCTAGCTGCATTCTGTATGTCCAGCCACACAGATGTCTATTCCCGAATCGCTAGCCCTTGCGGCTTCCTCTGGTGGAGTGAAGGGTTTCCTTCATCTCATTCCTTCATGCTTCCAAGACCAAGCTCTGCCAAGACAAGCATCTGACTTACTCCTTGGGGTCTGTCAGACTGCAGTTAACTGCTTACCCAACAGATGTGTGCACACCCTGCAGGGCCAAGCCTCATGGAGGAGAGCCACACCTTGAGGGCCAGCCACATCCTCCACTGAGAAGCAGCACTGATGGTCCAAACTCAGAGCTGGGCTCCCAGCACACCACACACCACCAGCACTTTCCAACTGCCTGCCTTAACCAAGTGACTTCGTCTCTGTGGGCCTTAATTTCCTTATCTGAAATAATACCTATTTCACAAGTTTGTTTAAACATGAATTCTCAGATCTAGGTGGACATCAGAACCACTGGGAACTTTAAAAACAGGTAGAATGGGAATGACCAAGATTTTTTCACTTCTTAAAAGTCCCAAGTCCTTTTCACACAAAGCTAGGTTGGGAAAGCACAGGTGAGAAGCCCAATCATTTGCAAGGGCACTGCACACTAGTGTAAGAGCAAATGTGAGGTGAGACCAGATATGAGGAAGGGAGTGTGTGGAGAAGCCTCAAGACATAGCCCCGGCCAGAGCCCCCAGCCCAATCCCACAGCCACTCTGGAAACCACGCAAGAACTGCAAGCAGACACATTCACCCAGCCCAGCCTCCCAGGATCCAAACGTGAAAGTACAGGAAGACAAGAGTAACCTTCCCAAAGGCCAGGCCTCATTATTCAGAGTATGTGGTCACTACTGAAAGTGCGAAAGGGACCTCAGACAACAAAGATGCTGGCAACTGCCACACTGCCTATTAGTAGACCAGCGTCGTTCTAAAGGTAGCTTAGAGACAGGCACAGTGGCACAAGCCTGTAATCACAGCACTCAGAGGAGGCTGAAGCAGGGAGATCTTGAGTTCAAAGCTGGCCTGGACTACTTAAGTGAGTCTGTCTCAAAAGGCAAACAAAAGGTAGCTCACAGCATCATTTTATTAGCAATGTGCTACCCTCCCAAGTAAGCGGGATCTTCCCTACTGTTTCAATATTTCTCTGGCATCAGAATAGGGACACACAACTCCATTGCTTCTTGTCACCCCATAATGAAATATACAAGTCACGATTCCTCAGACAGGCTCAGACGTTCACCCTCAGGACAGAAAAGGCTCAGAACGTCACAGCAGCTGCTTTCTAGTCCCTGTGGATGACATGGAAAGATTACATAAATTCTGCAGTTCCAGGGCTCAGACCCAAGAGCCAAGGCTACAGAAATGCCATAAAGGGCACTACGGTCAGCAGAGCTCCAAGCCCGCAAGCCAGGAACACCTGCTTCCTTATATGCAAACCCTTGAACTCTTCTCCTAAGAATCAGCCCAGAGATTCTCAACACGCACAGAGGTAATCAGAGGAGGGCTGCTGCCACATCCCTGTAGGCACAGAGAGCATGGATGAGTCCAAGTGCTCATGTCAACTGTGCAATGTCTAAGACAGCAGAGCAGGGTACAGAAACTTAACACAGACAACTTTCAAGTTGCACATTTTAATTTACAACGTTTACCAATTAAAAAAAAAAGATTAGTTACAAAAGGGGACACTGTCCATACAAAATATGGATTTTTTTTCAGTCATTAAGAGAAGGAAGTCACTATTACATCTTACCTTGCTAAGTCAAAACTCAAATATAGCTTGTTTTGGTAAAATTATACCAGAAACACAGGCAATCCAGACAAGATCAATATATAATCAGCTTCCTAAATGTAAGAGAAATAATTTAATGAGCATTTTACCTGAACTGAGGAGTTCTAAATACATACCTGTAGACCTTTAGAAAGCACAGCCATTCTCAGGCAGGTTTTAAGAGGGCCAAGAGAGGCTCTAGCTCGCTTACCATTAAATCTTCCAGTTTCCACACCTGCACAGTGACTACATATGCAACACAAAGCCATCGGAACGACAGCTTCTATGATTTTACAAGTGAATTTTATTATGGCCAGAGTCTAGGTTCAGACGCTCCCCGAGTATGCTTTTCTCATGTAAATTACCTATGGAGAGGTACACCCTACTGCTCTCTTCAAGCTCCCATGTCACAGTATAAGACACAGCACTGTTTAGGAAGAGTGGGGGAGAGAGCAGTCACACTGCTAGGACATGTTTTCTGAACAGGAACTGATCAAATTGTTCAAAGCCATTCTAGCTGACTCAAGTGTGGCAGCCACTCACCACTGCTCCCAGCAGTCTGCTCTCAGAATAAAAACAAAGTCTGTAGCCTTCAAAAAAACTTTATTTGGTGATGAGCCAAGCTCTAATGGAGAAAGCCCACCTATGAAATGGTATGCTGGGGTATCCAAGCTGGTCTGATTCACAACACATGTACATTCATGACTCAAAATAATAAAAACTTTTAAATGCAAATTATTCTAAAGCCCTTACAATCCAAAATTATGTGCCATTCACTCAGATGTGCTTATATTAGCTTTAAAAAATGATCTACCTACAGAAGAGCTGCACTTTCCTCACAAGTACCTGAAACACCTGACCCAAAAAGGGCAAGGCCAGAAGAAAAATGACAACTGAAACAGGGTCTGAGGCCCTCCCTCCCTCCTGCAACAAGCACACATGCAGAATGAGTGTCAGACGGTTGCCAAGCAGGAGCCTCTGCAGGGAGTGGCACTCTGTGGCCTATGTAGGCAGAACCTCCTGACATAACACAACTCAACTACTGAGTATCCAAGGCCAGCGTGCCCTATACAGGAAACACAGGGGGACAAGCAACACCACTACAGTGCTGATCACTCGGCTCAGGAAAACACTGCCTAGCAACAATCCTCATTAATACCAATCTGGGCCCTCACTGACTTTCCAGAAAAACATCTGAATAGACAAATGGCTGTAACTGCTGTCGGGCTGACACAACCCCAAAAGCTGAGAAAGTTCTTCGTCCACTGCTCAGTCTTCTCCCCTATCACAGTCCTGCCACTGAGGGGGAAACAATTGCATGAATAAGTTCTTGTGACCAAGCTTTGGCAAAGCCAATAAATATGAGTTTGTCAAAGGCAGAATCATTTCGTGAGCAGCCGCCTTTGAGGGCTGGGAAAGCAGGAGGGAGGCATTTGTGAAGGAAGAGCTAAGATCCTTCACTGGGGTTGGGTAACCCAACCCTAGATGCCCAGCTCGGTGCCAGCAGACCAGGGCCTGCTGACACCAGTTTTTCAGATGGAAAGGGAAGAAGTGAAAACACCAAAATAGAGTCAGTTTTGAAATTTGCACTGTTGATATTTGTTCTTCATAGTAGTAAGGACTTCAATGAGAATCATGAGACTTGAGGAACACTTGTATTTTCCTTCAAGATTTAAAAAATTCTGTCTCATACTGAAAGACTACATTCGGTGTGGGTCTGGTCCAACAGCGCTGGTGAGGACTCGGCTGTGAAGCACACCCAGCACTGGCAGGAGATATCGCCGAGTGTAGCAGCTGGTGGGCAGGCCCGAGGGGACTCGCTCACTGGTCTCCAAGTCGAAAGCCCTGGCCCCAGTTGTGTCTCCCACCTCCTCCATTCTGGTCGGCAGCACGTCTCACGCTAGCAGGGGGCACTCCGAATCCTGACACCCCTCCTCTCCTGCTGGGCAGCCAGCGGTACCTGAAGCAGAGAGGGGAACAAAGGCAGAAGAGAGAGCAGTCACTTCCACAGCCCCTAGCCATTCAGCACTCTCCCTCTCCCATGTCCCCATGGCATCTGTCACGCTGACAAAGGCCAGGGACAACGTCTCATTTAACTGTCTTCTCAGCTCTTAGCAAAATGTCTGACCACAGAGGGCACTTGCTTTTCATGTTTCTTAACTGTCTCAAGCTTTCAGTTAAATTCCTACTCTATTATACTGATTATAAAATAATATGCAGAATAGTATAGAAGCAAAAAGAACACGCACAGGCAGAAAGAATGACGGAGCTCATCTTGGTCTATCTAAATATGGGCCAAACAGGATAAAAAATAGAAACTAAATTTGCTTCCAATGGCCAATCCACAGGCTGTATGTGTTGAACCCTGCACAGCACTTCCACGACCCTCTCAGCTGAGTCCACCATGGGAGACTGGAAGATGGCTTTCTGTCTTGCGGGTTTGGGTATGTTTTTAAAATCTACTCATAATCTGTCTCTGACTTCTTCCTTCCTGTCTCCTAGCTGGTGGGTAAACGGGGTCCAAAAAGGTTAAACATAAGTAGGAGTCACAGAAAAGCAAGGAAAACTTAAACCCAAGTCTATGCTTTCAATAGCATTTTTTGACTATTTCCCGACTTGCCTAGAAAACCAAGAATGTGTTTAAATCTATTCCATCTATCAGACCCTAGTGTTTACAATTTTGCTTGAAGGCAGAGGATACGTTGATACCCCTAGGTAAGCCCCACTCAGAACCACAGAAAGTGGGGACAGGCAACTTCCCACACAGAGCAAGCAGCTCCAGTGTGATCCTATGGGTCAGCAGTAGCCAGAGCTATATATTCACCTCATCCGACCCACACAGCAGCCCTGTGAGCCAGTTACTACAACAGCATCACTCCTGCTTTCTAAACAGAACAGTGGGGCAAGACTGAGTGAAGCTCTTCAGGAGTGACAGGACGCAGACCCTGCAGCAGCCTGGCTCTGAAGCCTGCACTGTCCCCACTCCCTTCCTGTCCCCTCCGGCTGGGACAGGACAGAAGTCTTATCTCCTGGAGCCCTCCACACTCCTTCCAAAGAAGACATCGGCCCCTTCTAAACAGAAAATTAGCTGTGTACAGAAGAGAAAATGGAACTCATTTTCTAAATGGAATACAGAATACTAATCATCTCAGAATTCTATAACTCATTTCTTACCCTTTAAACAAATTCAGCTTTATCATTAAATCAAAGTGTATCTCCAAGCACTGGGTTCTCAACATCAACAACATCTGGTACAATAATATTCCTCCAAAGTACATAACAGAAGAGAGCGCTTGAAAAAGGCAACACTAGGGCTGTCTTGCTTTGCTACTTACACTAAGATGATATGGAAGCCACCCCTCACCCCTTGCTTAAGCGGACAGTGAAATTAAACACAAGTAATTAGTATAAAAAGATACCCAATTATATATAATCAACAAAAATGTATGGTAATTTCAAAACAGTAACGCTTTTGCAAGGAGCTACATTTTGTCATCTGATCTTTATGCAAAATTTAACAGAAGGCCTTTCACCAACAGAGAAAGCTCAAGTGAAGGTAGGCTCCAGTGTGCTGCTGATTCTGCCTCAAGAATCGTGCTCACTTTGTTGTCCACAATTAAGAAATAACTGTAAGCCGTTAAGTCAGAGTGTGGCTATTTAAAGTAAAATAACTCTTGGCTACACCCCAAAGCACATGTTTTTTTTTTAATTGATGCATCTGTCATCCTACTTGATAAACCTAGATCAGAAATTCATTCAAACCTGCTGTTATTATGTCCTTTGATAATTGGAAAGCAAATTGGTCATTTGTTTTTTCAGCCTAAAGGCAACCCAAGGCTCAAAGAGGAACAAGTTTCTTTTTATTCTCTTAAAAATTTTTTTTAAACCTGCATAATGATACTATGCTTTTCTGTATATTACAGTTCACAATAAACATTTGCACAAACATTCCCCTAGAGTGTGAGGAGGAGCAGAGGAGCATTACTCAAGTTCTGCTGCCCTCACTGACCTGTTGGAAGGACAGCAGTGCAAAACATTAAAATGAGCAACATGTGAAAGGAGTTTTTGTTGTTGTTTTTTAAGCTTTTAAATGCAAGCCATTACTGCATATTCCTGACACGAGATCAGGAGTGATTGTCAGGCAGGCTGTGACACCCAGATGGCAATTTAGCTGGTTCCTTCTCCGACAGCCTTTTGCTTGGCTGACAGAACGGTCTGCTTCTTACATGGACACATGTGTCAGCACCTCCCCTCGGTGTGAGACACACACACACACACCACTCAGGACTTGCTCAGCACTGCACTCATCTCACCTAGCCGTGCACTAAGGCCTGTGGGCTAGAAGTAACTTTCAACACCAGTGCTTTGGCCTCTTCACTTGAATCAACCCTAAAAGCAGATAAAGAACAGGCACACAACCCTAGGGGGTTGGGACTACACAAACCAAACCTCCTGTTTTTTATTTTAACTTTGAGTACTCCTATAAAATTTCAGTCCTAAAATATCAACTGCCCCTTCCTCAACAGAAACCATGGGTGGAGGTGACACTGCAGGTGATACCATCTCCTAGGGCGCTCCCTGCTCGCCCCCAAGTCACTGCTTCACAGCATGGAATGGTATGGGCTGTGCTGTGTTGTCTGAGCTGAGCCTAGACACCAGTGGTCCTCAGCTCAAGGGCATCACGAACAGAACGAGGTGGTGGCTTCCATCCCTTGCTTCCTGCGCCTACGTGACTTGGCAAGTCATTTATCACCTCAACCTCTCCATCCGATGGGAGGTAAATCAGAGCCCCCATGACACTCCTGTCAAGATACAAGAGAGCATGGGCAATACAATAACTGTTCAACGAGGGGAAAAACACTTACAAAAACTGAGGTGTAGACAGAAAATTTCTTCCTCCCAAATCCATTGGGTATCTGAACATTAGGAAGAAATAAAGATGTCCAACAAGATTTCCAATTAACTCATTGATCACCCTGCAAAGAGAACCAATTAAAGACAGTCAAATGATGAAGTGAAACACACCTAGTGTTAAATAATAGCATGGGGACGAGTTCGTCACTGAAGCCCACTTACAGTCCCGGGAGTCCGTGACAGCTCTAGAGCAGGCCCTTTTTATGGTCAGAGTGACAACACATTCTGAGGGACAGAAAAGAGACTGCTGAACCAACACGGGCCATGGCTCTGCAGGCCAGCAGCTCCTCTGCCATCTCTTTTAAGTCTAGCCCGCCTCAAGATGCTGTTTTTGCTACTCTTGGCCTCAGGAGTGAGGGAGGCTACAAAGCAGACTCCTGAACACTTTCAGTCTGAGTACTGTGTGTGAGAAACACAGGCAGGCAGGCTACCGAGCAGAGCAAGGACAACACAGCTGGCTCCCCATTCCTGGACCCACTGCATGCTCTCTCCACCCCTTGTGTCCTGGAGTGTCAGGAAAGTTGACCTTGGCCCTGAACACTAAAACACTGAGCTTCCTCAGGTTCCCATGGCCAATGGGGAGGTCATCTCAAGACCTTACGGATCCACTCTTACTATCACTGCCCTCCATCTTGCACCTCCAACACCATTCCTGTCAGGGACAAACCAAGGCAGCTACTTCCAGACTGCCATTCTGGGTGAGACAGCAGCTAGAGCACACCTGGAATGTGCTGTGCCACAGACTAAGTCTGCTTGCTCCATTCATCCACTTCTCTGGCAGATGCAGAAGTTGGGATCACACAAAGCAAATGTATCAGATATACGAAGAACTAGCCTGTTAAAATCATTAAAATCTCAAAAATGTTTTATAATGCACAATAGGCAATCTTAGAATAACTGCATCCTGATATACTTTTTGTTCCATTACAAGGGGGCTGAACCCAAGCCTTCAGACTAAGTTACATTCCCAGCCCATTTTTTATCTTTTAAAATAGGGTCTTATGCTGGGTGTGATGGCACACGTCTGTAATCCCAGCACTCGGGAGGATGAGGCAGGAGGATCACTGTGAGTTTGAGATCAGCCTGTGCTACATAGTGAGTTTCAGGTCAGTCTCAACTACATAGTGAGACTCTGTCTCAAAAAACCAAA